CGCGGATGGTTTGTTAGTTCTCCTGGCCCTTGAGAGTCACCCGCCCTGGGTGCGGGGTGCTGTGGGGGTAATTAGGGGCGGGCAAGTGAGCTCACCGGCTGATTGTTTTCTTTTTCAAAATACTTGCCCCGTCCGGCTGTGCCGTTATGCCGCTTGTTTATTGCCTTTCCCACCTCTCCCTCCCCACGTCACTTGCCGCTGGACTGACGGTGGCACGTCGCGCCGAGCCCGGCAGTTGACAGCCGTTTGGTTCTCAGCCGTCGGTCGGCAGCCCTGCCCGCCGTCAGCGATGGGTACCCGACGCCAGACGGAGCGGAGCCTCCGTCCCCATCACAGGAAGCTTCGGCCACACTCTTCCTCCCTGCAACAACCCCCATTTTGCCCTTTTCCTCTCTTTTTCCTCTGCCCACGCTATTCTGCGTTCTCCTCTGCCGCCGGGATGGGCCCCGGGAAGGTTGGGGCGGCTGAAGGGGCACGCAAGTTTCTGACAAGTTGGGTTTTATCGAGCGCGCGGGATAATTTCGCATGTCCTTGTTTTGTCATTTAGAGCACTTAAAGTGTCACGGAGATTTCACTATCCTAAAAGCTTATCTGTCAGCATCAGTGAGTTATTCCAGTAAAAGGGTATCATCAACAGCAGCAGGAGGAAAAAAAAAAAACAAAAAAAACCCCAAACCAACAAAAAACCCCATATCTGAAGGTTTTCTATTCCAGGCTGTCTGCAGCCAACCTTGAGCCCGTACAATTCCAGCGGGCCGCCCCGAACCAAAGCACAAGTCAGAAATTCAAAGCTCTCCTACTCTCTTTCTTCCCTTCAGTCTAGCATGAGGTGATGTTTTTCCAGATTTCCGTGGTTTGCGCCCAAACGGTGCAGCGTGGATGGATGGATGGAGCGAGAGGTGCAGGAAAGGGCAGAGATTTACATAGGCGTTAAACGGTTTGCGCCCCGGTATGTGACCACCGCACCGTATTTCATTTACTTTGGAAATCCAGTGGCAGACCAGATCATTTAAAAAAAAAAAAAAAAGTTGTATAAACACACGTAAAATATTTGTTCCGAGCGCAGAAGCAAACGAGAGTTTGACGAGCTGGATTGGGAGCCCGGGGGCACATCGAGCGAGGGAAATTGCACCAGTCGCTATTTGCGATAACGTTTCTGCTGCACCTTCCGGGGTGGGTGTTTCTGACCGGAGCGATTGCACGCTCAGGGCAAGAACGGCTTCAAAACCTGGACAGAATAAGTGATGCCCATTTTTTTTATAGAATTGTATCAGTAATCCGCGGTTCCATTATTAATGTAGTATTAAAAGGACTTGAGGCCTCTCAGCAAATTCCTATTTCAAATAAATAATTACTGGAGCCAAGATAATTTATTAAACTAAATTGAAAAACCCAGGCACACTCTATATTTGCCTCCAAGTAATTTTTTTTTTTTAACTACCGCATCCGAAAATACACTGTTATTCACAGTGCCGTACCCAGAGGCTGCAGACGGGCCGAACGCCAACGCGCTCCTTCTCACCCAAACCCGTCTCACGCCTTTGTTTTTTAATTTAACATGGGTGCCGGGACGGATAGGCAACGCAGGGCACTGGTAGGGGTGGTGTAACAGCAGCGTACGCGGAGTTTTGTTGTATCTACCTCGTTTGTGGGTCGCTCACGAGCGAGCCCGTTTCAATCTGTCGGTACTTTTTCGTAAAGCGCTTTGATTAAATAAATAAGGAGACCGCAAGTGCAAAAATGTTAGTTTACCCTTCAAAACCTCCGCTGATGTTGACGGAGCTTTTAAGGCATCGCGCAAAGAAATAACAACCGGTGGAAGCACCCCTGGCCAAGCGAAGGGTGCGAAGTTGCGGGGAAGCGGGGGGCGGCGGCGGCACCCGCGGAGCCGATTTTGGTGGGTTTTATCTGCGCTTTGCCGAGACGCGTGACAAATTTATACTAAATCGGAACCTCAAACGATGCCGGCGCCTAAAAAAGCCGGGGAAGCGATTGCATAATACGGGAGAACGCGATGAAAATCCTTCGTACGGCGCAGTTACTTCAGAAGCAAGAATAAACAATATTTAAAAATGCATAAACACAGATGGCATGTTTTCCTTGAAAAAAAAATGTTTCAGGGGAAAAATAAAAGCCTCTTAAAAGGGAATAAAATATGAAAAGGAGGAGAAGTAGGTTGGAAAGAAGTCATCAAAGGAAGGGGGGGAAAACTAACAAAACCAAAATCAAAGGTTCGTGGCCATGGTGTGGGTCCAGGCGTGCCTGCCGGGGCGATGGAGAACTGCACGTCCTCGGGGCGGGAGATTTGCGCTCAGGAAAGCATTTTTGGCACGGGCTGGGGATCGGTGGCGCGCGGCGCGGCTCAGACCCCTGCCGGGGTACCCGAGGTGTGGGAAAAGAGCCCTTCAGCAGCAGCCATCTCTGCTAGGAGGGAACCCGGTTTCCAGGGCTGTACTTCCAGTGTTTTCTGGCTTGGGTAAGTAAAATGCGGAGTACGTCTCGGCGGCGATCTGAGGGTTTCGCCACGCATGCGGCTGGTAAGAGATTGGCATCATTACGAGTCGGCCTGCGACGCGCCAAAGGGCGTTTTTATATCCAGATGGCTCAAGACACGATCTCGTAAAAGGCCAACATGTAAAACGTACGCAGACTTACAGGGTGCGAGCAGAAAAGCGACAGGTTTTCTTTTCGTGTGGGAAGGTAAGTGCGACAATCTTCCCCCCCGCGGCGCTATTTCGGTAGCAGCATATCGGCGCGGGCTGTTGCACGAGGGCACGCTGCAGCAGGGAAGCCGAGCTCTCCTCCGACCGATGCCTCCCCAACAGCACCACGGGGCTGCGTGCCGCTTCCCAACCGCCCGTGCCCCGAGCCAAAACTTAGTCTAAGAGCTGCAGGATTTTTAGGGTTTGGTTTTGTTTTTTTTTTCTGGCCGGACCCACGAGCTGAGTCTAGGATTTACGAGACTCGCTCGCTTATCTCTGGCAATTCTGCAGATAGAATTTCGCTGGTAGCTCCGGTGATGTGAGAGGCTGCGCTGGTATCGGCGACCGGAGTGAAAACCCGTTTGCGTCCCAGCGGGGATGGGTCGCAACCTCTGGAGCCTCTCGTCCTACCCGTAGCGTGCATGTAGTAACAAACCTGCCAAACGCGAATCTTTGCCGTTTTAACAGCCCAGACGCCGAGGGACTAGCTGCACCTCTTTCATCGCCCGCCTTTTCCCTTTTTTTATGAATTAATGTAGAATGGGTGGCTTGTTTTGTTTTTGTTTTTTTAACGTGGCAAGGTAAACCTCACACGTTTATGCTCCCAGGGATTTTTGTAGGGAACGCCCAGGCGTCTCCCTCTAGTGGCATCGGGCGCCGCCAAGCCCCGTTTTCTCGGAAATAAAAGGACGGGTAGCCTTGCCCCGGGATTCCCCGCTCCCTCCCCTCGTATCAGCAAGTCGCCTCGGTATTTAGCTGCCGCGTTTATGCGATTGAAGAGAAAAGGGCAGGCCCCTCTCACGACTCACGTGCCTTTTCTCCTTGGCTTTTCCTGGACCGTGCCATCTAAAAAGCAATCGCACCTTCTCCAAAAACCTGGTAGTTTTTAACCTGCCAGAGGCTTTCCAAGTCACAATTATTAAGGGCCGGCGGCACAGCTACCGTTATTGAATCTTCCGTCCCGACCCGCAGCAGCTGAGGGCAAAGCAGAGAAGACAGGCTGGACGAAACCACCCTCTTTCAACAGAACTGTTTTTATTGTGTCGTGAAAGACCGCACCTAAAACTGGAGGAAGAGGAGTATCAAACAGCGTGTTTTATGGAGGACGTACAAAGAAAGAAGCTGCTGAGGCTCGAGCGAGTCGACTCCGTGCTCAAACAGAAAAGCAGCGGCAACTCGGGCTTCCCTCTGCGCGTTAACGGCCGTTGCGAAAGAAGGGAACCAAAGGGTGCAACTTCTCGAGAGACTGGCAAACCGAAAAGAACCGGGAAGACGCATCTAGTACCTGCCAGGGGATGGCAGGGCCACGTGAGGAATCAGCTGGCCGTTTTGTCGCTTTCTCCGTTCTCTATTAGTTTCCTTTTCTTCTCATCAGTTTTCCTCTTGAAGATGCTATCTCTGTAGAACTGAAGTTCTTTGATGCTTTCCCTGATGTCATCGAGCGCTCTGAAAGAGAATTCGGGAGGGTTTTGAAACGCCTGCGCGCATCCTCAGCCACACCTGGGTTCTAACGCTTCCGAAGAATTCCAAGCCGGCAGAAATCCACCTCCGATACGCAGTACAGAGGGACTTATCCAAGCCCATGGATCCCACGGCACCAGCCGTGTCTCCTGCGCTCAGAAGAACTAGGAAACTTAGAAATTCGCAGAAATACGTGTTAACGCTGCTGAGAACCTTTTCTTCTACGAAACCCCGCGGCAGGACAAAAGCAGGAACCTCACCTGTGAGAAGCCGCCTTCTTTGGTGCAAACTCGTACTCCTCCGGATACCAGCGCCTGCGAGCGGGGGGAAAAAACAAAGCGCCACTTTAAAAAAAAAAAAAAAAAAAAAAGGAAATTGGGATTCAAAGAACTTCGGTTCCACTGGCATCCAAGGAACCATGACCCAGCGAGTCAAGGTGCTGCCTGCCGCAGAGCAGCCCCTTCGCAACTCGGTCCACGTGTCCCCCAAACAGAACAGGCCGCGTCTCCCAGCAGCCTTCATCCGTGTTTCCGAAGAGCCGCTTCACGGGCTTCCCCAGATTTCCTTCCGTACCACCGCTTCATGTGGGGGAAGGTTTACCTGCACAGTTCTTTGACGGTGCTCACGTCGATGATCCTGTAATGAAGATGCCTCATGAACTGAGGCATGTATTTGTCGAGAAATTTCTTATCTGCGTGAACAGAGTTGCCTACAAAGACACAAAACAAGATGTTTCTTCAAAAGACATTACAAACGACATCACGACAAGCAGCAGGCTAAGCGAGCTGGGGAGAAAGATCACACAGAGGTGTGCAACGCTGTTCGCGAGCAGCTCCGCGATCTCATTTCCTAGGAAACATGACTGCAAAGCTTTGTCGGGTCTTCCCTTCAGGATCACACGCGGTTTAAATAGGTAATCCCTCTATTAATTCTTCAGTTCCTACTCCTACAGTTCCTGTCACGCAGATAAGTATCAAAGCATCGGGTTTTCCGCCACGTGAAAACAGGCGTCGGGGTTAATTTGGCTTAGTGGCAGTCACAGGACCGTAGGCCCTGAACGCAAGTTGGGACGGTTGGTATTTGGCGTTCCGTTCGGCGAGGAATAGACGCCGATGGGTTTGCCACCTGGACTTTACGGTCGCGGGTAGCTGTCAGCAGTGAGGTCGCCCGCCCCGATGACAACCGTACGCTGAAACGTGAATGCAGAACAGAATCGAAGTGTGTGTGTGCGCGTCCCCAGCGGTGATGATGCACGGTACTTCCTTGAGGGCATCAGCAGGGCGGACGATGCCGTTGCTGAATCGCTCCCTGACTAAACAGGTTTGGATTTGCCTGCCAGATTCCCCGCGTGGAAAACCAAAACATCCCCACCCCGCGCACCAGCGGGCCTTTCGGCACCCGGCTAGGAGCCGCAGGAGGGACGATGCTGCTGTTATTAACAAGGAAGGTACCTTACCTGCCAGAGGACAGAGACCCGGGGGTGTCTGTTGTCGTACGAAGGAGAGAAACTCATACTCTGCTTGCTGTAAGGAAATTTTACTCTCCTTCACAGCCTTAGTGAGGCCGGACTGCAAAAAAGAGCCATCCGTCACACGTCAGAAATACACTGCCGGGAAAGATGCTTCCAGAAAGGCTCGGGAGGGGAAAGGCAACCCTCCCAGCAGCACTGTCTCTACCCCCCGCCTGCCCAAAGCGCCACCCAAACGCCACGTTTCAATGTCCTGGGACATCCCCTCACCTCTATTCGTCCCCGGGAATCCCCATGAGCAGGCCTGACAGACACACCGGGCGCCGCTCGGGCGGTAAAAATCCACACGAGCGCAGGCAGCTGTAGAACAGTCCTACCACCACCGAAAAATCCCGCGATTTTCTCTCTTTTTCCAGGCTGCTGTACCCTCTAGGGGTTCTCCTCAATTACCCAGGCACCGCGTAAGCCTCGATAAAACACCTGTGTGTACGCAGTCCCGGAGACGATTACGCTTCCCTCTGCCTAACGAGGGGCATCCACCTCCCCAGCCCAGAGCAGTAGATATAAAGAAACAGAAATAATCAAGATTGCGGCCTAAGTGTTTATCAAGACTCCTATAAATCAGAAAAGTCCCTTCCTTCTTCCTTTTTTTCTTTTTTCTTTTTTTTTTTTTCCTTCTCAATAGCTAAATGTCAAATCTGCTCCAAGTGTTCCCAGTGATTTATTTCCATCTGGCTACGCTATATATTTCCGCGACTGCGCCGCAAAAATCTACTTGACGGATCCGAGTGGTGGTTAAAAAATTCATTATGTGGCTGCATTTTCATCTATATTCTAATTGCTTCTCTTTTCTTAGTCAATTAAAAATAAGTAGCTCCTCAGGAGCAGCGATAACGTATGCCACCATCTTCAATTTACTCGTGAACTGAAGCCGAGTTTGAGCCCTCAACCGGAGAAGGGGAAAAGCACCCATCGCGGTAAATTAATATTCGTCTTTTCCCAAACTCTCGCTAATCCTTCCTGGGGAGAGCGAGATGCCGAAGGGGGGAGGAGGGGAGGGGTTACGGGTGTCTTAAAACCTCAGCCCTTAATTGAAAACTAACTTGAATTTCAATTCACAGTCAGGGCTTTTGCCTTCCTGCTGCCGGCAAGGAGGAAGAAGCGTTCTTTGGTGGCTGAAAGGACTGAAACGAATCTCTTGCTGCAAAAGTTCAGCTTTCAGAGAAAAAAAACCCACACTGGGCTTACAGCACCAAGGGGGCGTGGGCAAAATAACAATCCAGTGCTTAGGCTAAACGGGCCTGTTTAATTCTCCAAATACCTGAATTTGCGGCGATCAGCTTGTCAGCCCTGGACTATTTGACGCTGAGCTTTGCTGAGGCTTCTGGCTCTCGAGGTAGGTAGAAAGCGGCTCCCAACACCACTCAAACTTACTAAAGACCAGGCTGCAAGGCACAGCGGGCCGCTTCGGGGCAGCCCTGCCGCCGCGG